ATCCTTATGGTTTGCATGGGACTCTAATGGCATAAAGTTTGCACCTTTATGCCTTTACAAACCTTAATGCCTCCATATCTGAAAGTATAATCAACGTGGGACATCCATGACTCATAAATCATACTTCTTGGACAAAACCCCCCATAAAAGTGACCATAAAGAGATCTAAGGAACTACAACGCAAGTTAGGAGCTTGATAACCAGAAAGTGATGAGAATGGAACAAAATCCCTAGATCTATAACCTTTTCCTTGAACCTTAAAGTTCCCTATTCTTTTTCTAGGCTTCAAGAACACACAGACCACTCAAGGATGGCTCACATACACCCAAAATGCTTTAGGGTTTCTTGGATTAAGGTTTAGGACTTAGAGATTGAAAATGGGGCTGATGGGAAGAGAATAAGATGCTTAAATAGGGTACAAAGACCCGGATTTAGGGTTTCCCAAATCCAGACCAACTCGTCAAGTTGGTCCACCAACTCGTCAAGTATGTCCTTCTACCCGCGTACCAAAACTCGCTCCTACTTGTCGAGTCATCCCCCATACTCGACAAGTTGCCTTCTTGACTTAGGGTTTTCCTTTCCTTTCTTTGGCGTTCTGGATTCCGGGTGTTACAATTTAGGACCTCGATCTCAGTTTCCGCATATTGGTTTGAAGTGATAAGGCCTTTGGACAAAGAATTGCAACTTAAGGAATTATGGTTTGGGGCTAAACCCATTAAGATGGGGTATAAATAGGTAAAGTTGGAAACTTTACCCTTAAGAGGACTTTCCCAACATGTAGAAGTAGTATGGAGCTTGAGACTAGAGTGTAGGGGTTTAATTTGTTAAGAGGGCCCATACAGACGGAGGATTCCGTCGAGTCCATAGAAGAACTCAAGGAGTTGAGACGTATTGTCCCGTTTCTGAGCATTCTAGAACTCGAAAAGTTTGAGGGTTACTCGGCGAGTCGATTTGCTAAATTGTGATGAGTAGTAGCCCGGGAACTTGGTGAGTAAGGTGGTTAACTTGGCGAGTTGGATCGTAGAGTCAGGGTTATCAAGACTTAGGACTCGGCGGGTTGAAAGGTTGACTCGGCGGGTTGAAAGGTTGCCTTGGTGATTTGGTCAACCCAGAATGTTGCCTTTGACCAGAGCGTTGACTTTAACCAGGGGTAAAATAGTCATTTTACCCATAGGAGGATTTTCAGTTTTTGACTAAATGTTTTGTGAATGTATAGTCGGGGTGTCGTTGGAGCAGCCATCGGAGATTCCTCACTCGAGATATCAGCAGTCAGTTTAAGAGGTGAGTTTTCCTTCAGTAGGAACGAGTCGAAGGCACCAATGTCGCCCCGTTTATGTATGTTAGCATATGTCGGACTTTGGCCTGATGACGGGGCTAGCCCGATGTATAGTAGTGTTACGAACTTCGATTCGATATCGGGGCGGTCCCGATAAGTGTTTATGTATGCTTAATGTCTTTGTGATTCATGAATGTTATGTGTTTCGGGCCTAGGTATGATGTCAGAGCAAGCCCAATGTATGTTAGCTTTATATGTTATGTGTTCCGGGTTTTGGTCTGATGTCGGGGCAAGCCCGATGAGTGTTATATGCTTATGTTATATGATATGTTGTGTGTATGTCGAGGTAAGCTCGATGTTGGGCAAGGCCCGGTGCCATACGTGGTCTGATGTTGGGGTAAGCCTGATGTGGGGCAGAAGTCCGATGTTGGGTAAGTCGATGCCATGTTCGTCCCGATGCAACTGGGCAGAGTCCCAAGTTTATGTTATATGTTATGTGTATGGTATGTGGTAGTTTGGGGGAGCTCACTAAGCTTCGTGCTTACATTTTTCATTTTGGTTTCGGGTACTTCTGCTAGCAAAAGGGAAGGGCTCGGGATGATTGCATGGCACACACCACCATTTCTAGCCTGGGATATTTACTCTGATATTTGATATGAGCTTTTTTTATGTTGATAGTTGTTATGACATATTTGAGATACATGGTTTATAACTTTTATGATAGTGATATTTATGGTTTAATTAATGATTTAAACACGAAAATTTTGGACTGTATTTTTGGGATGTTTCATCACTGAGATTTGGCTTACAGTTGTTGATTTTTTTTCCAGGTACCCTTGATGATTGTGGGAAGGTGAATGCCTGATTATACACATTCATCAACAACAATGGAGTTCCGCATTTAACTTATACTGTTTCGGTCTTCATATAAGTATTTCGAACAAATGAGTTTTCTTAACCTGAGTTTTATGAACATAGTGTTTTACCTTAATTAATAATGAAAAAAAAAATTGTTTGTGAAAATGGGATGTTACACCTAAACTCTCCTGAAAGTTTTCCCACACCCAAGGCCCAACTTTATGAGTGTTCAAGTGTTAGTAGCAAAGTTATGGAACAACATAAAACTCGATTAAAAGAGCTTTTGGTATCGACGTTCTGCCACCGCAACTTCTGATTTTTCGCTAGAAAACCTGTAAGCTGAGTTATACCTACTATGCTTTAAGTATAACTTATATTTATGTCCTTAATCGTTATTATGAACTTATAAATAAGATTTATCAGTAATATCAATCGTTATACTGATCGATCTACTTACGAGAGTAATGTCTAGGTTAGATCTGCGAGGTGTTTAAAGTGGATTTTCTGAACGATACATTTTATTTTAACAACGGATCCCACCTCTGTAATGATCTTACATGGCCATTCCTTGTCCTATAGAACTCAATACTCATTTGGGATTATTGATGAAATCAAAATACTGTTATTATAGTCACAAATAATATAAACGATAACTTGAAATTTAGTTAATATTTATATACAAGTCTTTTAATATTTATATACAAGTCTTTTAAAAGGAAAAGCTAAAGAGATAGACAAAACACTATCTTAACCATAAGTCTTTCACCTACAACTAGGTGAGTGCATAACTACTTTTATCTTATACATAGATACAAAATATTTAAATGCTTAATTGTTACGTGTGTTTATTATGATATATACGTTAGATAAAATAACTTGACTGGATTTATGTGTACCGGAATCATATATTGATAATGTATTGATATATTTTAAATATCATACTTAAATCTAAATCATATTGGATAAAGAAGGGTTGTGAAAGCTAAAATAATGGTGTGAGGCCGTGACCATCATAATACTATTGTACTGTTGTGACTATTCATTTAGCCAAGTATATATGACAACCACTGACTATTCTAAACATTCTTGTGAAACACTAGTGACTCATTACATATAGGTGTTAATGAACTGTGCGTTCATTCAGTGTACTCTATCCCCCATGGTTGCCTTTATTGACTTATTTTGCTAAGGAATCTCTGAAGTAGTGCTGTCTGCTAGTTGCTTACAATGATCATTTATGATAGGTCCCTTGATATTATCATTTTAGGATCAGAGTGCGAGAATAACGAGAACGAGTAATCGGGTTAATTATTTGGTGTAAGATATATATTTAAGAGATTTAATTATAACATTACGGGTTGAAAACCATATGTATTCACTAGGCTTCAAAGTCTAACCCACTCAATTTGTTTATATCACAGATAACGATAAGAAGGTATTGGAATGACTGTAATCCGTTGAGTAATTTAGGAGATTATGGCCGTTAGTATAAAAAACAATTGTAGAAGTTTGTAAATACTAGTTTATGCTTATGTTTTTGTATCGATTATGGTATCAAAAAGTTTTAATATTAATGAAAACCAAACGTTTTATTTGGTAATATTTTGGTATTGATTTTTTTTAAATAAAAATGTTTTGGGACAATTCCGCAATAAAATATTTTTTTAAAGGATACTCTGTTTTAAATAAGCATATAGAAAAAAGTTTTATCTGATTGCGAAAACTGAGGATGCCACATTATATATCATTTTTGTTTTTTTTTTTATTTATTCGATAAATATCATAACTATATATCATTTTTTTTGCATGTGTTTTTTTATAAATATTATAACTCTTATAACGTATCTTTGCAACTATAAATAATCATGTTACTGAACAACTTGAACTTAATTTGGTCGTAACTCGATAGATAACCATTTTGTTACATTTAAGTTATGTGACGTAGAATAACTCGAACATTATTTGATCACTTCTAAAAAAATAGAAACTCTGTCTATGACTATCTTTACACATAAGTCACTTATTTTTTTACATTCAAGACCTGAATATTCAACATTGATGATAAAATGTGGTCTAGAAACACGCTCCATACGGAAAATCAAAAAAGTCCCTTAAATTATATATGATACCATTAAGAGAACTTTGTTGATTTGTCGTACAAAACGTGTTTCTAGGCCACATGCTACATTTATTATTGATTTTTTAGGTTTAGATGTAAAAAAGTAACTCAGGTTTAAAGAATGACAATAAAGAGAGTTTTTATTTTTAGAAGTGACCAAATTAAGTTCAAGTTGTTCTACAATGATTATAAAAATACATGTTAAATACAATTAATAGATTTTTTTATTGATTTGTCGTAAAAAGCGTGTTATAGGCCACATAGTGTACAATGGAGCTCTATTTATGAATAACATCATCCGATAAATCTTCATTTTCTGAGTCGTAGTTCGATTGTGTGAGATTATTCGATAAACTGTATTTTTTATGGTAATTTTTTTACACAAAAGACTTGCAAATTCAACAATAAAGTAGCATGTGACCTAAAAATAAGTTTCATGCTATAAATCTACAAATCCCTTTTATGTTTTATAAGATATAGATAATATCCTTATGACTTTAGTTATTATATTTATCGAAAAAAATCACAAAAAAACTAAAAAAATGATAATGTAATTTCAACGTATATAAATAATTGAATAACTAAAGATAATGTTTATATGGTAAAATAAAATGTTTTTTTAATAATCCTATATTTATTTAGCTAATCTAATAATTTTGAGATAATGTTTATATGGTAAAATAAAATGTTTTTTTAATCAATCCTATATTTATTTAGCTAATCTAATAATTTTGAAGTCGATCCAGAAATTGATAACGTTAAAACCTAAAGTAGGGTTTCAATTATAGTCCGCTGGCTGTTCATGGTCCTTATTTACCTCGACCCTAGTTGTGTTCTGTGTTTCTGAAACCCGCGAAGTGGAGTTCAACAGGCGGGAAACCCTCTTTTGAATCTACAACAATCCCCCACTGTTTTCAAAACCCTAATCCACTTCCACCCACTGTTTCTCTTCCTCCTGTATAAAATAGCTGTTTTTTTCGTCGAGTCTCAGTAATTATTATTTTTTATGGCGACAACGATTACAGAGAACAGCAATCTTGTTGATGCCAAAGAGAATAGTGAAATCGACGACATGGCGATGGATGTCGAGGCTGCTGTTGAAGACCAGGAACGATGTCACGTTGGTGGTGTTGTTGACTGTGAACCTTCGTCTTTGCCTTCTTCTCATACACTGTCTCTCAACCACGAAAAAGCAGTAGAAACCAATATTATGTCTTTATGTCCGGCGACAACGATTACAAAGAACGGGAATCTTGTTGTGGCCCAAGATAGTGGAAACGTCAATGACTTGTTGATGGATGTTGAGGATGCTGTTGATGATCAAGAACGACGTCGTGCTGGTGTTGATGTTAGCGGTGTACCTTCGTCTTTGCCTTCTTCTCACACTCTGCCTCTCAATCACGAAAAAGTAGAACTTAATACTATTTCTTCATGTTCTGATGTTGCACGTAGCACGAAGGGACTCTTGGCTGAAGGGATAGAAAACCAAGAAACAAAAACGGAACGATCTGATTCCATTAATGGTGATGGGGGTGAAGAACAAAACGGTATTTATAAATCTGAGCCGAAAGTGGGTCTTCCGAAGAAGAGAGGTTGGCCAAAAGGTAGGAAAAGAGGTCCGAAAAGGGACAACGCGAACAGTAATACTGCTACTAAATCTCAAGAGAAGAACATTAAACCACGTGGTCGTCCCAAGCAGGCTGTAACTACGGAAGACGTAAGGAAGATGACGAGTGGTGTTGTGAAGTCTAGTGATGATGATAACAGGTCCCTAGAAGAAACAGAAGAAGTTATAGTTGATGCTGAAATTGTTCTTGCTGCTCCTGATCGAGAGGAAAATGTTACCACCGAAATAGTAAACAACAAAGAGGACAAAATAGATGGCGGGAGGCCCAAAAGAAGTAGCACGAAAAACAAAATTAATTACGCAATTTTCGAATATGATTTTGATGATGAAGAGGATTTACGGAAGAAGATACACCAGCTATCTTTTCCAAAGAAAAAAAAGAGGGTTGAAGAGGAACAAGATAAAGATAATGGTGATGGAGGTATAGAACAAAATGAGGGTACTAAATCTGAAGCAGAGGGGAAGGAGGGTGTTCAGAATAAAGGCAGGAAAAGAGGTCGGAAAGCGAAGAACGAGAACACTGGTATTGCTACTAAATCTCCAGAGATGAAGATTAACCAACGTAAGAAACTCTGTGTTCCTGCAAAAGAAGTAAGGGAGATGACTAGTGGTGCTGTGAAGTCAAGTGAAGACGAGACCAAGGCCCCAGGAGAAACAGAAGAAGGTATGGTTGATGCTGAAACTGCAATTGCTACTTCTGATAGAGAGGGAAACGTTACCAATGAAGTAATAATAAACAGTAAAGATGTAAAAAAAGAGAGTGGGAGGCCCCAAAGACGTTCTAGGAAGGTTGATATCAATTATGGTGACATTTTGAAACTAAATAAGGGAAGCCAGAAAGCTTCTAAGAAAGAAAATACGAGTGAAGGGGAACACGATAAGAGAACCCAAAAAGCTTCAAGCTCAGGCAAGAAGGATGGTTCAGGGCCAAAGTGGTATGCAAAGCACAAGGTTCCAGATGAAAATGTAACACATTCAGTGTCCCTGGTTTCCCTCTTTCTCAATTTGAATAAATCTGCTTGATTTCTCTTGCACATATCTGATCAAACGTCATCTCTCTCTTTTTTTTCCATTCATTGGCAGGGAAATCTAGTTCTCGTACCATCAGTAATGTGTCATCAGTGTCAAAGGAACGACAAGGGACGAGTTGTTAGGTGCCAGAAATGCACTACAAAGCGTTACTGTGTCCCTTGCATGACAAGATGGTATGATTATGAAAGATCAAAACTTTTTCTTCCCTCTTTCTAACTGAGTAATCAAATTGAGTGATTGTTTTTCAAGGTGCAGTCTAATGGACTTGCTTTTTAACTTGATGTCTGGTTGTTTACTCTGTCTTTTAGGTATCCTAACATGACAGAGGAGATGTTTGCTGAGTGTTGCCCTGTTTGCTTAGACAAGTGCAACTGTAAATCTTGCTTGCGTGATGTGCGCCCTAAAGTTGGTTCCTGCAGCTTTATCTTTTGTTATGGAACTTATTTTTGTTCTTACTCTTAAGCAAAAAAAAATGCAATACTTAATCTGTTGGTGGTTTTTTTTCAGGTTAAAGATAAGATCAATTTCAAACCTAATGAAGATCAGAAAATCCGGTATTCTGTTTATATCCTACATGTGCTTCTTCCGTTCTTGAAGCGTCTCGATGAGGAGCACATAAAGGAGAAAGCAATTGAGTCTGAAATTCGAGGTATTTTTAATTATTCATATTGGGAGTTACTCTGTAGCTAATCTAAATAAGTAATGCTACATATGTGAATCCTGACTTATGATGGTTACTGGTTCATTCTTATGAAAATTAAGGTTGAGTTAGCTGAATTCTTTGTAATTGTTTCTTGGTTTCCTTTTGAAACTAAGTAAAATCATGTGAAAATGCTCTCTTGTCTATTCTTCTTACCCGATTGTTTTTTCTTTGTTGGAATGGTGATACTATGAGTTTTTTCACTCAAAGTGTGTTCTCAAAGGATAAGCATCAATCAGCCATACTTTATGTAGGTTTTCCTAAATTTTCCCTTTTTGGGCAGGTTGTTCTTTATCGGAGCTACATTTGAAGAAGGCAAAGTGCAGTCAAGATGAGCGAATGTACTGGTATGTCATTTTAATGATTGTACAAGCATTTGAGAATGTTGATTTATAATGATTTCTTATTCTGATTTTCCCATGATGTATGCAGTGACTGCTGTAAAACATCAATCTTTGACTTGCATAGAAGCTGCCCTTCTTGTCAATATGACCTTTGCCTTCAATGTTGCTGGGAATTGCGAGATGGCAATCTTCAAGGAAACAAGGAAAAAGTTATCATTGAATTTAAAGATCCAGGTTATGATTACTTGCATGGGGGGAAGGAGTCTGTTGGTGAGTCTAAGAACAAGAGGGATACAAGGAATGTGGTCAGTAATTTTGTGAATGCTGCACCAAAGGAAAAGCAAAGTTATGAATGGAAGTCTTTTGATGATGGCAGAATCCCTTGTCCTCCAGAAACTATGGGTGGTTGTGGTTGTGGGATTTTAGAGTTGATGCACATAAAGCCACTGGATACTGTTTCAAAATTGTTGGAGAAAGCACAAGAGCTCTTAAAGATGCACAAACTGGAGGAAGATATGAGGGATATGCCTGAGAAATGGTGCACATGTTCTTCAAATGGTGGTGATCAGCAGTTACGAAAAGCTGCTTCCCGTGAAAATTCAAATGACAATTACTTGTATTGTCCACGTGCTATTGACATTAAACCTGGAGATTTAAAGCATTTTCAGTGGCATTGGTCAAAAGGGGAGCCTGTAATTGTCAGCAATGCTCTTGAAACTACACTCGGGTTGAGCTGGGAACCCATGGTTATGTGGCGTGCTTTTCGCCAGATTTCAAATCTCAATCATGATCAGCTCTTGGATGTAGCTGCTCTTAATTGTTTGGATTGGTGTGAGGTATGTTAAGTATTTCTCTCTATCACAACCTTTTTTTCCCTTGTATACAATATACCTAATCAAGTTTTGTCTTGACATGCAGGTTGATATAAATGTTCGTAACTTTTTTAATTGGTATACGGAAGGTCAATATGATGAAGTTGGGTGGCCTAAGATCCTTAAGTTGAAAGATTGGCCTCCATCAAGTTTATTTGATGAACGGTTGCCACGTCATGGTGTTGAGTTTATCACTTGCTTACCCTTCAAGGAATACACACATCCACGTGATGGATACCTTAATCTTGCAGTGAAGTTGCCTCCAAAATCTTGTAAGCCAGACATGGGTCCTAAAACATATATAGCTTATGGTGTTCATCAAGAACTGGGACGTGGAGACTCTGTCACTAAACTTCATTGTGACATGTCTGATGCGGTATGCTTCTTCTATTTGGTCATGCCAGATTCTTCTGCTTGAATTTTCCGGTTCTGCCCCTAGGGTTTCAGATTGTTTGCAGAAACTGGTGGGGGTTCTAGTCTCATCAGCCACAGTGTGGGAGTTTCAATTCCAATGTGGATTGGGCTCTTTGTGGGTGCTGGGCTTTTCTGAAGATTTAACTTGTAAAGTCGGATCTTCTTATGAAGAATAATTTCAAAGAGATATATTGATTATATTCTCTATTTTGCACACCTAACCTGCTTTGGATTTTATATATTTTCATTCCTGAATATGTATTCTGGTGACATGCAGGTGAATGTGTTGACTCATACTGCAGATGTGACCCCTGACCTTGAACATTGTAAATTAATAAAGGAGTTGAAGAAGCTGCACAAGGCTCAGGATGATAAGGAACTATTTGGACTGGTAGTGAAGACACAACCTGATGCTGATAACACGAAAGCTAGTACTGAGAAATTAAATAAATTGAAAGAAAAAAGAAGGCGCCTAGTTAAAAAACTTGCTGAATCTAAAGTTGGAAAAAACACGAGTGATGACAATGTGGAAGAAACAAGCGACCATGTTAACAGTGGAGACAAGCGAAAAAGTGGGCACGAAACAGATTCTTGTCTTGGGACAAGTACTAGTGATCAATCAGATGAATGTGCATTGAAGGTGGAAAGTTGCGAAGAAGCTGTGTCTGACACTGGGAAGAGAAAAGCTTCCATGAAAAAGGATGAGGGACAAAGTGGAAATAAAGGATCTAAAAAGAGGGTCAGGAAAGAAGCGATATCCTCTGATAGTAAAGAAGATAGCAATAATGAGGAAACAGAAGCTCTTGAAGAAGTTGATAACCTTGATGATATTTCAGGTAGTTGCGTGGATGGATTTGATTTGGGAGATGGAGGTGCTCTGTGGGACATATTTCGGAGGGAAGATTCGCCTAAACTTGAGGAATATCTCAAGAAACACTTTAAAGAGTTTAGACATATCTTTTGTCGACCAGTGGAGCAGGTAGTCCTTACTTTTGATTGAGATTCCTGTATATGTAGCATTATGTTCATAAATAATAATCTCTTAAACTGTTCCATTGTGTTTTATTTGGTCCAGGTTATCCACCCAATTCATGACCAAACTTTTTACTTAACCATGGAGCATAAAAGGAAGCTTAAGGAAGAGTTTGGTTAGTGTTACATCTGCAAGGCCCTGTATCAGATTTCACTGTTACAAAATTTCTGAATTGTGCTTATCTTTTTGGTTGTCATCAGGAATTGAAGCATGGACTTTTGTCCAGAAGCTTGGGGATGCTGTATTTATACCTGCTGGTTGTGCCCATCAAGTTAGAAATTTGAAGGTTAGTAACTTAACTACTAGTTCTTAGATTCTCTCTCATTATCTTGCCCCTTCAAATATATCAAATGGAATTTGGAAATTAGACTCGGTTGTAACAAACCATATGACAACCTATGTGGAACTTCACTCTCCTCCAGCAAAGAGATTACATCCAATATAAATTGTAAAGTGACAATTGTGTATACTGTCAATTCTACCAAATGCTGGGTAGCTGATGCATCTTTAATGAATTAGGTTTAATAAAGCTTCACTTGTCTTGCTTCAGCATGTTTAACAATTGTGTATCATTCCAAAAATGTTGTCTTGATTGCTATTGTTTTGTTGTACTTGTCTTTGTCTCTCAGTTTATCTGTTTAGTAAGTGTGTAATTACGTTTTTTTCAGTCATGTATAAAAGTTGCACTGGACTTTGTTTCTCCTGAAAATGTTGGTGAATGCATCCAATTGACAGAGGATTTCCGTGTTCTTCCCCAAAATCATAGGGCTAAAGAAGATAAGTTGGAGGTAAACAATCTCTTTGTTATATTCTGCAATATTAAATCTTTCATTAAGCACGAGTTCTAAAGTCCCTCTTCAAACCTGGCTGGATACTTGATGCGAGTGTTATGGTTAGCAATTTTATCTCATTTCAGAATAAATTTGGATTATATGCTTACATATATTGGATCAAAATGGCAAATTTTGAAAATTAGCAAAAAGGATAATTATTCAGTGCACATGTGTTAGCTAGCTAATATGACAGTTAATCATTTCTAACTACCAGGGGTAGTTTCGTCATTTTCTATTTTCTAGTTCGTTACAAGTCAGTTAGAAGCTCTGTTGTTTAATATTATTCTTTGTACATATATGTAAGTTCAGTAGTAGTATAAAGAAGTGAATAATAAGAAAAACTCTTTTCAATCATCTTTTCTCTTTCGAATCAATCTTTGAACATGAACAACATGTGTGTTCAAACTCCTACATATTTTTAATAAATGATCAGATTATTATTTTGAGTTAAGTGCAATAAATAGCAATGTACTTCCGCTGATTTGTTTATTTAGGGATCCTACTTTCATGTATTTCTATAACATTGTACTTTGTAAAAATGAGAGCTGCTGTTTCTTGCATATAACTCTAGTTTATTAACAATGAGATAGTCTTAGATGTTCATAATATCATTAGCTCCATTAATTTTACAATTAATTTGTTATAAATTATTAAAGTTGTACAAATGGTTGATGCTGCTGCTGCTAATTAATTAATTTCAGGTGAAGAAAATGGCACTTCATGCAGTGGAGGCAGCTGTAATGGACTTGGAAAAACTCATCCCCAAGTAAGTTCAAACCATATTGTAAAGCCATCTTCAATCCTAACTTCAAATAATACACAAATGTTATGTAATATTAGCATCAATGTTTTTTCACCCCAACCGCATGAAAAATCATATCCTGAAAAATTTAGTAATAGTTAAACTTTTTTTACTTAATTTCATTTGCTTTACAGATATATACTATAATTATGGACCAAAGTTTAAACAAGTTTGCAATTTTTGTCCCTTTGATGTATGAGTTTGACTTAACAGTTGGTTTTGTGGGAATCCTGTTTCAGAGAGGAATCTAAATCTGAATCTAAACCTGAATCTGAGGAATAGGGGGATGCAACACACAAGGGAGAGAATTGTTCAGGTTCCACTTTCTGTAGTATATAAATTTAATTTAATTTAATAGATTTTGTCAAGTCTTAAACTGAGGCCAAGCATGCTTCCAAGAAACTCTTTCAAACTGTAACTGTCACTTGTTAACGATGATGTAACAGTTTGTTTTTTGGCTCGTCTTTGAGCATGAGTTGTGGGAAATGTAGGTTTTGTGTTTTTGAGTTGTGTTGGGCCTTTGGATTTATGTTACTTTGTACATGTCGATCGTGTGTTTAAAGAGGGATTATTGCATAAAAACTGGTTTTTAGTTAAGCTTTTAATGTGAATTTATGGAGTTAATCAGCTCGTAAGCTATTTATGAGTGTGTTTTCAACTTAATGCGAAAAAAACGGTTTAAGAGGAAAAACAAAGAGAAATTAAAAACTAGGAGTCCAGGTATGATAAGTTTTTTTTGCTATGAATGATACTAATGAAAGTACTTATATTTCATCTAGGAAGAATTTGACTTGCACTCATTGCAAGAAACTTGGTCACACAAAGTCTTAATGTTATAGACATCATAGACTTCACAATAGGGATGAGCAAAATAACTGTTGGAATTGAAGCGGAATTGGAACCGCATGCGAATTTGCATAAATTGATTATGCAATTCGGTTTGGGTTTTGGTCCCCCAAAATCTGAAAATTGGTTTCGGTTATTGTGTGTATGGAGCTCTTGGGTATCGATATTTTCGGTGCTTGGGTGAAGGGTTGATTAAGCCCATAAGTGGAACAAAAAGTGCCCGGATTCCCGCTCCTATCGACAAATCCGTAAGACACTCAAGTAAGTTTTCAAGTTTTTAATAACATTTAAGTTTTATCAATTTTGTTTAACTATGTTTATGTCTAATGTCTATTCATTCTTGGAATAGAATGTAGCATTCAAGTTGAGTTTGTTCAAGTTTTATGATGCCCATTCATTCATGAAGATTAGCGGTGAGCACGGATAGCGGGTACCCGCTTTTGGAACTGGAACTGCCTTGAACAGTCGGTTTTGGAACTGGAACCGAGGTCACTAGCTAGTTTCTAAAAGTGGGAACCGCCAAAGACTGGTTTTGGTTTTGGTTTCGGTTTCGGTTTTCATTTTTTAGGAACCGTTACCTGTTCGAACCGGTTCCAAAATATTAAAATTTAAAAATACTTAGTACTTAAACAAATTGGTTGTAACAACATTGATGACTAAGGGATTTTTTAGGAGAATCTAATTGGATATTGGAGGTAACATGCTAATAAGTCATATTTGCAACTTTTTTTTTTCCCAAAACAAACGGTCTAATGTGAATGAATGTGTATGTCCGAAAATAAAACAATTTGAACTTAAATGATGATAATATCTTTTGCAAAGATATCATGTTAAGATAACATTAATAGGTTGATGGTAAGAACATGAATTTTGGTTTACGACTTATATTTAGCAACTTGGATTATATTTTAAAACGATTATTTTTTTGTTGTTTGTAACTTGTATCGTAATGAACTAGTTATAGTATTTACTTTTTCTTTCAATGAAGAATCATTTGCTATTAACGAATCTAAAAAGATGATCTAAGGGTGTTACTCGGTCCTGGAGCTTGGAGCTGGGACCACTAGTCTTGTTCTGGTTTTGATTCTAACTTCATAGGAACCGCTTGTTTTGTTTCCGGCAAAATGAGGCGAGTATCCGCCTATGTTCATCCCTAATGGAGATTGTATATCATTCATGTTAATGATTGGAATTTTAATGTGTTTTAGGATGATGATGATGTATTTTTGTTGAAAACACACAAAAAGAAGACAATGTGCAACAAACTACAAGCTATACAAGCTAAGGAAGGGAAATAGTGGTTGGATTGTTGGAACTCCTTTGATGTGTTCTAAATTAAAGACGATGACGGGGATGAATTAGTATGGAAAATGCAAGATTTCCTCTGTGACTATCAAAGTCAATATGTGGACGAACGGTACAATCTAGTTTACGAAAACTTTATAATAGCTGCAAAAAGGAAATCCATATGTTGACTATAAAAGTCAATATGTAGATGAACGGTACAATCTAGATCTCAAAAGATTTTGCAAATTACTATGTTGATGAAAGAAATAAGTTGGTAAATTTTTTTAAGTAGTCCACTTTATATATGTACATGTGACCATAGACACTTAGACTAGTTCGTGTCAAAGGGTTCATAATATGGTAATCATGAACACTTTATCGATGAAGTTTTGGCGAGCATTTCCTTTTAAGGCATATGACTCATATTCTCTGTTCATATGACTCATCAATGCAGAATCTAAAACCAAACCGAAAGGAGCTATGGCTAAATAATGTTGAGATAAAACTAGCAGCCCTAATAGTCCTTGTTTAGAGCTATGGAACTTAGCCATTTCTTAATTAATTCAATTGTTTTTTTAGCCAAAATAGGGAGTTACAACCTAGGAAAGAAACCAGTTCATTCTAAGTTCGTATGAGGAGTTATGGTCGTTTAAAGTTGGATAAAAATTATAAAGAATGTTGAGAAAAAACTGACAGCCCTAACAGCCTCTGTTTAGAGGTATGTAACTTAGCCATTTCTTAACCGATTCAACTTTTTTTTTTACCAAGATTGTAGCCAAAATAGAGGGCTACAGTCTGGGAAAAAACCCAGCTCATTCTGAGTTTGTATGAAGGAGGTATGGTTGTTCAAAGCTGATATAAATTATAAAGAATGTTGAGGGATATGTAACCTAGCCGTTTCTTAACCGATTCAATTGTTTTTTTTTACCAAAATTGTAGTCAAAACAGAGGGCTGCGACTTGGGAAAAAGCAGCTAATTTCGAGTTCGTGTGAAAAAGTTACGTCCGTTCAAAGTTGTGCAAAAAAATTTTAAAAAAATTAAATGAAAAAACCCTCAAACCAAAAGTCATGACTTATTGGAACCAAACAACTAAGGGGCTGTTTGTTTGACCTCTTAATGATCCTATAAAGAGGATGTCTTTGGATTATTCAGATTCAGAGCATTTGGATGAAACTATTTTAGCCTCTTAATCAACCGGATATTAAAAAAAAGGTCTTATTCGGTCAGATATCAAAGGGATTCTGGATAAAACTTTTTCCTTTGGTGCCCTTACTCTAATCATCCGCCTCTTTTTTTCTTCCTTCTTCTACTTCATCGAACAACAAAAATTCGCCTCCTTACTTGCATCCATCGATTTCAGCTTGCAGTCGGATCGTCCTACAGCACCGGTTTGCCTCCACCTGCGCCACCTCCCCCTATTCGCTCTTCGCTGGTATGATTTTTACGGAGTTTTTCTCTCTTTAATTTGTTTTGGGAAACGAAATAATAACATGTTGTGTTATTGTTATGTTCTTGCTGTCTTGCCATGTTGGCTGATCAATTTGTTTTTTGGTGAATGATTTGTGTGAAATCTAATTGACTTGTAAGCATATTGATGTGGTTTTGCTTTGTTATTATTGATTTATTGTTTATATGTAATTAAAAGTCTGAAAATATGTGTTCTTGCTGAGTTGCTGTTATGATTTTGCTTGATTTTTTCTGTTATGTTGTTGGATTTTGTTGTTGAAATATGTTCTTGCTAAATTTAAAATTTAAAAAGTTCTAAAGTACTCAAACTCAAACTTTCTTGCTAAATTTAAAATTTAAAAAGTTCTAAAGCACTCAAACTCAAACTTAATACTAGGTATTAAATTTAAAATTGAAGCGTGTTAAATTATATAAAAACAAGCTTTTTATATAGAACCTTAAAACTGATTTTCTTTTTGAAAATTGGTACCATGGCTTATTATATGTATGTAATAACTACAATATCATATGTTTTTGAAACTATAGTTATAAAACATTAAAATACCCCTTATAATACTCAAATCTATGCAATCTGTTTTGAAAACACTCGAACATCTCTTGAATCACTAGTGGGATAAAGGATATCTAACCTTTTAATGTTATTTTTTGATGGACGAGGTGTAGTAGCGATTTCTATATCCAAGTTATAGGCTGATTACACAAGTTCTTCAAATTGGACGATTTGATAGGAAATCTTTTGTGATAAATGATACCTAAGCAAGAGAGTTCTAAGGCATATATGGGAAACAGATGGAAGGTGTTGAAAAAACATTTCTTGAAGCTTGTATTTAAGAAATTACAACTTACGAGCGTGAAGGGAGTGATTTGAAAGCAAGCTCATGGAAAAATGTAGCTGAAAGATTGAAAACATAATACAATTTTGTTGTTGATCAAAAGTAGATGAAAAATCGATACGACTATCTAAAAGCAAATTTTGGTGCTTGGTTGAAAATAAAAAACAAAACATGCAACGTTTATAACCCTATAAGTAACACGTTTAACATGGAAGAAGACGAATGACAACTAAAGATTAATGTATTGTGATTTTTTATTAGAAGTAATATATCGTAATATTTTATAATATTTCATAATATTTATAATATTTCCAAGCAATCGAACAGAATGGTAGAAACTTTGAGAATTTCTCCACTAGTGTACCTTGATCTTTGTGTTCAGTTGTTCGATGGGTCGGATGCGACCGACATTCATGGATGGGGGTCATCTTCTACACTTTCTCACTCTTCTCATGACTTGCCCGACATTAATTTAAGTGACTTTGATGGTATTAATGTAACTCAGATGAAAAGTATGGCTTCACCGGAAAGTCCAAATGAAGGAACCTCTAGTGTTTCCAAAACAAAGGAGCTAAAGAAAAAGGAAAAGCAGCAATCAATGCAAAGATCATTGAAGTCAGTGATGAAATTAGCAAAGTTGCAAAGATGTTAGTAGAGAAGCATAAAGAGCATGCTATGACATCATGTATGGAAAAGTTGGTGAAAAATGGAATGGGAAATATTTGACCCAAGATACCAAACGACCGTTTTCTTTTTTGGTGAAAGTGTCGATCTTAGAAAAGTTTGGTTATTTCTTCCAGCGGAAGCTTGTGAGATGTGGTTAAAGAACGATGGATTAAAGTCTGGTTTGATGTGATGTTTTCTTAGGATTTTATTTGATGTGTGTCGTTATGGATTTAAAATATTGAACTTCTTTAGGATTTTATTTGATGTGTGTCGTTGTGGATTTAAAATGTTGAACTTTTTTAGGATTTTATTTGATGTATGTCGTTATGGATTTAAAATATTGAACTTTTTTAGGATTTTATTTGATGTGTGGCGTTATGGATTTAAAATGTTGAACTTTGTTAGGATTTTATTTGATATGTGTGGTTATAGATTTAAAATGTTGAAGTTTATATGTTGTTTGACGTTATGTTCTTAAAATGTTGAATTTTATATATTGTTTGACGTTATGTTTTTAAAATGTTGAATTTTAATGTTGTTTGACTGGTGATTTATGGATATCGATGATACTGTGTATTTCATGTTGCTTTCTTGGTATTGGATGTTTTTAGCTTCGACAAAAATAGAAAGGATAAGCGAATGGAATTCGACATTGACTCGTCATGCATTTACGCAAGAATTATTGTATGGATCTTCTTTACAATGTCATGAGTTGATGCGTCTTTCATTGGAATCATGTGTACTACTATTCAACCATTTTAAGCAAAAAAGTTGGCTGCAAAGTAGTCGGTCAATAAGTGTTGAAGAAAAGTTAGCTATGTTTTTAACAATCATCGGACACAATGAGCGGTTTCGAATGGTTAAACGTAGATTTCAACATTCAACATAAATAATTCATAGGTGTTTCCATGAGGTTCTAAATGTGATCATGAATTTAGCAAGAGAAATTATTATGCCAACATCTTCTAATGCAACCCTGAACACATCAGGACGACACAGAAGGTTGAAAAAAATATTTCCGAGAGCGATAGGTGCGTTAGATGGAACTCTTGTACATGCAGTCGTGCCCGCCAATCAACAAACTCGTTATAGAGGAAGAGAAAAAGGTGAATGCTATCAAAATGTTATTGGAATTTGTAATTTTGATATGATATTTATGTTTGTGTGGGCCGGGTAGGAGAGCATAGCATATGATTCACGAGTTCTAAAAGCAGTTGTAATTAATCTAACTTCCGGCTTTCCATTTCCTCCACCAGGTTTGCAATCTTTTTTTTTTCTTAACTTTGATTATTAAATACATTATCTATTTTCATATAACAATTGCAAAATTCACATTTATAGACAAATTTTAACTTTGTGATGCCATATACACCAACATTCATGGATTTATGGCTCCCTACCGCAATACGAGGTACTCGTTATCCGATTTCCGGAGACAACTTGCATTAACCAAGGTGGAAAATTTCAACCATGCTCACGCACAACTCTAAAATGTTTGAGCGTGCTTATGGAGTTTTGAAGGCGAAATTTCCAATCCTAAAGCAAATTGCTCATTATCCTTTTCCAATACAAAGAGACATCGTGCTTGCTTGTTTTGCGGTCCATAATTTTATAAGGAAATGTAATATTCGTGATCAATTATTTATGGACTTTGAAGAGGACACTATGTTTACTGTTGATGTAGGTGGAGGAAGTGATGACCAAAGCGTACACGACATTCAATGGGGTAACCAAGACAATGAATATATGGCTAATTTGCATAACCAGGTTGCTAATTAGTTGCTTTAAAGTTGCTAATTAGTTGCTTTAAAGTTGTATGCTGAGGATTATGTTTAATTTGAATGTTATATGATATTTAATTTGGATTTTATAAGAAGTTTTGTATTTTATTTATTATTATTTACAAATTCAATTTCATTCAGCATAGTTGTTCAGTCTAACTAAACAGTAACACATAGTTTAAAAGGTTAAAATGGTCATTTTCACTATTAAGAGACAGACATTCAGATGTCTGACAAAACATCAAATTATCATTTAGATATAAATTCATATAGATTCATATAGAGCCTCTACATCATCCAAACACTGTATCATCCATATATGAATAATCTAGATGCTACCACACAGCCTCTAATTTGGTGTGAAATTTTTACTAAAGGTGGTAAGATATATGAGACTATCCACATAACATGTCACAATGTTTAAAAAGTACAGGATATAACTTGGTATGAAATTGAAGAATTTTTTTTGCAATGATCGTCCAAACATCCCCTAATTTGGAAGGTGTACTTCTCAAATACTCATATAAAGGTATTCGTTAGAGTAAATTACACGAATAGTCCCTATAGTTAGGGA